GCTGGACTTCGAGTGAGAAAACGGTCATCTTGTTAAACCATGAAGATTTCAGCGCATATCTGTTGCAGCAGCTCGCATCACCTTACACTCACTGAAAGAGCCTGCTGTACTTTGCTGCCCTGACCACTCCCAGGTGGTCCAGGACGGTGGGCTCCCAGCACTGCCCATGTGAACGTCAACTTCCAAGTCCTCACCTAGAAAATGAGGTGGCGCAGAGGGACCTACCTTAATGGACTCATTGCTCTCTCCTGGGGGCTGGAGAGAAATTACAGAGTGTGTACTGATATTCATCAGCTCACTGCATTCCTCTGTGGAGTAGAAAGGCTTCAGTTTGCTAGAGAAAGAAGTGACAAGAGGAGTGATCAGTGGGGAGCTGAGACCCTGCTCTGCCCAGTCTGGGGGGCTGGAGAGAAATTACAGAGTGTGTACTAATATCCATCAGCTCACTGCGTTCCTCTGTGGAGTAGAAAGGCTTCAGTTTGCTAGAGAAAGAAGTGACAAGAGGAGCGATCAGTGGGGAGCTGAGACCCTGCTCTGCCCAGTCTGGGGGGTGGTGGGAGGAGGCATGTCACAGAATGAGGGAGCGGCCAGCTTCTCTGTTTGGGGGTTCAGGCATCTGTCCCTCCCAAGGGGCCCCGGCTCCCCCCACCAGGGCTCCAGTCCACTGTCTGTCTGTGACGGAAGGGGAGACGCAGGCGTCCACAGCCACCTCTCCTATCACTGTCTGCTCTGAGTCTCTCTCTCTCCTGTTCAGAAACATTCCACTGGTCCTCCCTGACTGCAACCACAGACTCTGCTTCTGGGTGGTCCTGGCCCAGGAGTTTTCAACTGTAATACCTGGCCCAGGAGCAGCAGCAGCATCCCTTTGGAGTTTATTAGAAAATGCAAATTCTGTGTCTCCACCTCAGAGCTGCTGAATCACAGCTTCTGGAGTGGCGGACTCCCCTGGCGGTCCAGTGGTTAAGGCTTTGCCGTGCTGGGCCAGGGGGGCAGGGTCGATCCCACGCGTCTCGTGGCCAAAAAGCCAAAACATGAAACCGAAGCAATACTGTAACACAAACTCAATAAAGACTTTTTAAAAAATGGTCCACATAAAACAAA